AATTATAATTTAATTTAATTTAATTTAATTTAAGTTAATTTTACTGTTTAAATCTCTCAGAAATCTCACTCTAAAAGACTGAAAACTGAATTAGTTTTTGAAAAAAAAATGAAAATATTTTCTTCTTGGAAAAAAGAGTGAAAATTTTTCTCTCACCAAACGAATAAAATCTCATTCTCTTTTCTTTGAGAGAATCTCCAGAAGAGTAAATTTAAAATTTGCCACTCTTTTTCAAGGGTAAAAATTTTCTCTTTTCCAAAAATTGGTTCGGCTTTCACTCTAAGAGATTTAAAAAATAAATTATATTTCAAGTTTACATAAATATACATAAATATACATGTAGAAATATATATATTTATAAATTTAATTTTATATTAATATTTGCATACATTATTTAATATTTAATTTACATTCCACAATGTACGACGTTATTAATAATAGTCATTTTTCAAATTTAGTCAATTTAGCACAGCCACTCCAGATGATTTGTGGAGCTCCATGCAAAGCGCTCTAGACGAATCTAATATCCCGCACGAAAACTACGCAATAAAAGAAGTGATGGATACTTGGATGAATCAAGAGCGTTATCCTCTTTTACGTGTGGAGCGAAATTACGAAACTGGTGAAGTAACAATATCACAAACGTGTATCCAACTATATGGTGAGACTGAGAATAAAACTACTAAATGGTGGATCCCTATAACTTTCGCTACACAATCTAATCCGGATTTCTCCAATACTGTACCTCGTTATTGGTTACGACCAGATCAACATAACATAAGCTTTATAATTAATTCAGATGATTGGATTATTGTTAATTTGCAACTTAGTGGTGAGTATATATCACGCGTAGACGAGATACAGATTACTAAAGCCATCTATTGGAAAAATAATGGATTTCTTTTTACTATACCTAATATATAAACATTTAACCTTTTTATTTATTTTATTTTTTCTATTATCACGAAAGTTTTACAATTCTACATCATTCAATTTTATGTATTAGGTGTTGGAATTAATTCGTAGCGTTTTACAAGTGATGGGAAGTACTTTCATTAATGTATTTTTTAATGCTCATGTGAAATAAATAACATTCTTTCATTAAAAACGCTACGAATTAATTCCAACACCTAATATTTTCTTATTTGTAAAAGCTTAAAGAAGATTTGAATAATTAAATTCTTCAAAACTTTCCCAAATATTAATTAACGTAAAATAATGTAGACAATAAGCATATCCAAAAATGAAACATAAAATGTTTCAATAAAGATCCTTAAAAAATATCTTAATGACATCTTTTTAACTTAATATATTTTAAGACATAAATATTTTAAGATATTTTTAAAACGTTTCATGTCTCAATTTTGGACTTGTCTGAGAATTTTTAATTCATAACTTTCATACTTTTTATAATATTTATACAATACATTCGCTCACCCGGGAAAAAATGTTTCATATGTAATTATAGTTTTGGAATTGACTAATCACAGTCGAGTATTTCCCTCTTACAATCAAATAAGAGGGGAATGCTCGATTGTAGTTGGTCGGTTCATGCATTCTGACTTAGTTTGAATCTTTGGTGGAAACTTAGTGATTGGCATTAATGTGTCTAATGAACATGTACTTTACTGGGCGGTCTTATCTCGTCTGCTTACGTTTGACAGTATAAGACCGTAAGAATTTGGTTATTTTTATAAATTAATATCTCGTTAACCATTGCGAAAATTGCAAATGGTAAAACATTTTTCAACTCAGTTTAGTCCATTTTGTCGCTATGTGAGTTTTATCGTTAATTAGACACTCTATATATAAAATATGTCCGTACATATAACATATATACATATAACATTTTTTTCCGGACTGTTACATTAAGAAAAAAAAATATAGATATTTTAAGATTTCGATAAATTTAATCTAATAATAAATATAACGAATAATGCAACAGGATACTATTCTGTTTTTTACGATGTCACAAATTGGAAAAAAATTATACACTACTTAAAGAGTAGAGAATATAGGAATATACACGTTCTTAATCGCGCTCAAATCATTATTGATTCGTTTGCCATGGTAACGAATAATCAAATAAATGGATACTTATTCGTGCAATTGATAAGCAATCTCGCTGTAGACAAAAATTACGTAGCTTGGCAGCCATTCTTCAATATAATAGAAAGTCTGCAAACGAGTCTTTCATTTCCAGAGATCAGAAATATCAAGGTAGTGTACAAAGGGTTAAAATTAAATATATAAAATTTAATATATTTAAGTATATAAAATATAATGCGCATATTCTTTTTTTTTCGGATTACTAGTATAGTACTATAATTGGCTGAATTTTTATAAAAACAATGATTTCTTTTTAAAACCAACATATATAAAAGTTATATTATTTATATGTATTATTATTTATATGTAATATACGTATAGTATAATAAAAACTATAATTTTTTGATACTTGATGTTTTCATATATCGTAGGTTAATATTAAGACAAATATGAGTATACATAATAAAGAAGAATAATATAAAGTATTGAATATCTGAATAATTGCAAAGAGTAAAAAGAATAAAACAATTATTTTGTAAGCACTTAATATTCGCTTTAATTAACATATTGAATGTCCAACGAATTTTATATGTTATCATTCATATTATATTAAAATCGTTATCATAAATATACAACGAAACAATATGGCGTAATATGTGTAATATAAATTATATTGTTACATTACAAGTAATATATTTCCCTGAGAGATCCTCTGTAAAGCTGGCCTCTCATTTTCAAAATTTGAAAAATATAAGCAGAGTTGTCATTACTGCCCGAAGAGTTTAAAAGTTGTCAATTGATATTAGAAAGATTAAAGTGGTGAAAACTGAAAATATTTAAAATAACAAGAAGGACCAATTCCACTGACAATCTGAAACTTTGAAGGACTACTTCTTTATTTTTCACTTTAGCATTTTAGTTCACATGTCATCATAGAATATAGATAGAACTCTTTGCGGGCAAGAATTCGTAATGAGAACGTTCGAAAAAAATTTTTCAATAATCCAACATTTTCTTGAAAGTTCTAGTAACTCCCAAACAGTTTTACCGATTGTATATGGATCAAAATGTTAAAATAAAACATAAAGAAGTTATACTTGGCCCTTTAAAGTTTTTAGAATCGAGTTGGCCTCCAAGTTACCTGGTGTTTTCATCGCTTTAATCGATGAAAGTTTTTTTTTAATGAATTAAGAACTCATCTAAAGAACGACCACGAGTAGGATGAATTTTCACGCGATTTGCACAGACTGATCACACATTTTATCCCTTGCACGTCGCTAAAAGCAAGCAGTAACTCACGAAGAGTGTTTTGCGTTCGAGTTCCCATCACAGTCCACGTGATCACATGCTGCGCAAAGCATGGTTGTTCTCTCAGTGACCGAATAGAACTCTTCGAAGGACAATCAGAACTTTGTTTATTTTTCTAAATTTTAAAAATAAGGGGTTAGCATCACAGAGATAGTCACTGGTCATCATTCATCAAGGTATTGAAATGTGTCTATTCGATATTAATTGTCGCAAGTATAAATAAGTGCAATAACGTTTATTATCAGTAACTTTCTTTTCTTACTTTTAATAAAAGTTGGACACAAATTCATTGATACTCATGTTGTGATGCTAATGTTGATAAAACGCTAACGCGCGTGCGAAATTGTATATGTAGATCACAAGTGTATATCAAAGGATACTTAATAATTAAGTTAATTACTTCATAATTTCTAGATACGCTTCGACCAACTCTTTAGTAGACTTTTTGAGTACGTAGGATATGAAGAAGGTCTTAATGATGACCATATTACAAAATTGACAAGGAGTAAAGCCTTACAATGGGCATGTCTTTCTGGTCATGAGGAATGTAAGAAAATGACCGCACTTAAATTAAGTGAATATCTCGCTAACAATGAAATTCACAAGTAAATTTCATATACGATTATCTCATACCTTCTATTTGTAACGCATGCGTACACACGCGTGCATATGGATATGTTAAAACTGATTCTCTATTTCTTTAAATCATTGAAATCAAATATTACCGTTACTCTTTTTCCCGGAAGTCCATTCTTATTCTAATGACGTAATAACAGAATAAATATGCTATTGTGTATAAGCGAAAATATGTAATAATTTAAATTGACGAAAGACATTCATCTTTCTTTAAATGTTTCTACACTACAGCATGATAATGTAATGACGTGGCAAATGTTCTACAATACAAATGTGAGAGAATAGTGCAGAAAGAAAATTTAATTTCACATGATTTAATTTTAAATGATAATTGCTCAATAAAAAAATGAGAATGAAAAAATACGTAACTTAAAAAAATAGAGAGTCGACTATAGGTATAAAATGCATGTACTATTTCCTATTATATAATATGTATATACTTACTTTTTTAGAATTCCATCATTTATGTTTTGTACTGGTATGATGGCAGCCAATAGGACTACTTGGGATAAAATGTTGAAATTATATCTAAAAAAAGAATTAAAAGGAGAAAATTATGATAAAACCTTATTGTGGGGTTTGAGTTGCGCTGAAGATCCTGATATTATCATAAATTATTTAAATACGGCAAAAAATGCTTTATTATTTTCCAAGCATGAGTATTCATTAATTTTAGTGTACATTCTTAAGAGACATGTGAGCAATGATACGATTCTCGACTACATATTAAAAAATTTCATGGTTATAAAACCCATGTAATAATATTTATTTTTATAAATGTATATTGTATTTTTCCTTATTTGTCAAAATTTATTAATAAGGATTATATTATTTTGTTTTTATAGATTATTTACTACGTCTTCAATAATAAACCTTATTCTTGAAAACATTTACAGTATCGAACAAGTTGATAAGGTAAATTTTACGATTCTGGATTTACATACTTATTAACCTAATATACAGGGTGTCTGATAATTGTTCGGACGGAGTTCATGGACATATAGAACAGACTAAACTGAGACAGAAAGTCCTGTATCATTTTGCAATTTTCGAAATAGTTAACAAGATATTAATTGCTAAAAATTGCTGAAATTGCTTCGATAATTTTTTATTCAAATACTATCAACTTTACAGAAAAAGTGCTTCACAGAACTTTACAGACGTTTACAGAAAAAAAGATAAAAATTGTTTCTTTTCTTTTCTTAAAATTTTATGAATTTTTTTAGAATTTTTTATTAACTTTTTAGTACTGCATTTTTTTATTTTTATCAACATGAGAAAATACGATATTAAAAAATTTTGGAAAAATTCTAAAAAAATTCTTAGAGCTCTATGAGAAGAAAATAAACAATTTTTGTCTCTTGCAGTTTTCTGTAAAGTTGATAATATATGATTAAAAAATATACCCTGTGTAGACTACATATATGAATATGTCATATATATAATAGTGCATTAGTCCAAACAGCACAGAATCTTGCAGCAACACTTTTATAACGTTGCAGTATTACTACAATATTACGCCGGCGACACTTGCTTCTTTTCTGCCAGATTTCTAGCTGAATTAGAATCTTGTCATCGTATTGGCTGCGGTACATAGACTTATAAGATAGAGGATACGGAGTATTCATACGAGAGAAGCTGAAGATTTGATATAAAGAAAGACATACAATTACGGAGTAGTTTTCTTCTTTTCTAGTAGTGAATTCATTGGTCGCCGCGGCAGGCCAGGGAGTGGCCGAGAGCAACTCCGACAAAATAGATAACTCCGAGAGTTGTGATCTTATGTTCAAACTGATCTCTCACTGTTCACTGTGAAAGAGAGAAATAATAACTATGTCTAAAGTAGAGCCTTTAATATTGTCTTCAGCTTCTTTCGTATGAACGCTCCGTCTATATCTTATAAATCTATACTGCGGTATTATATTGATTATGCGATAGTCAATATGATGGCAAGAATTTAATCTAGCTAACAATCCAACAAGAAAACAAGCATTGTGTGTTGCCGGCTTTACTGGACTTATTTATGATGCGACTGAAATAAAAATTGTTCATCATATGACACTTATAAATTAATTTTATATAATTAAATTAATGTTAATAATTAATCAGGTGTTTAAATATTTAGATCGTAATTTTTTATTTTTGAGGATAACTACATTGCAAAATTAAGTAATACTAGGGTGTGCTTTAAAATATAAATTAAATTTGTTTTAATATTAATTCATAAATTAATATTAGATTGACGATTTAAATTTAATTAAAAATAACTTAAAAAAAATTTCCTCCTAGAAAATTATCCTTGCAAATTAATAATTGTCCGCTTCGCAAGGATGTCTTCCTCGCGAAAAATAAAAATAACATTTTTACAGCATATATACATAGCTTCCGCTACTGTGGTTATATATTTTATTTGATAAATATATATATCGTATATTTATCTTAATATCGTCGATATCAAATCAAATTAAAAATTGTGATTTAATAAATTAAATAATGAAAAAATAATTAATTAAATTAATATATTAATTAAATTAATAATTATATTTTACTAAATTACTACATAAAAATAAATTATACTTCAATATCTCCAAATACTTTTTTTTTTTTCAGGTTGGAACATTCTCAACTAATTTCAATCTAACTTCAGATACTTCAAATACTTCTAATCA